TCACTTTGATAACTTAAAAATGTTTTTGTTTGGCTTTTTCAGTTTTGGTTGGCAAGTATGTCCACAACACCTCACTTTTTTTGCCACATGTATCGCAAACCACGTCTCAGCTGTTTGTGGAGATAAAATACGTCCGCACAATTACGCTCAGTCATTGTTGTGAGTGCGCGCGCCAAGGGGCTGCGAGACATTTATACAGCCGTATTTCGCACATGACTATGAAAGACGGAAGAGGAGGTAGTTCCTTTGAATGTAGACAATCTGAATGATATAGTTACTTTCCACTGTGTTCATGTTAATGGTAAACTACAAATTTACCCTAAATTACTAAAATATCGATATTTTAATGTGAGAATCGATTCTAGAACATAAATGACTGGTATCGGAGGAATCGATATTTCAGGATCGATCCGCACATCACTAGTTTTAGGAGCGGCACAAGATCTCATCAACAGGCAGTGTTGGGGAGTAACATAATACATGTACCGGCGACATGCAAGTAGCCACATGCAAGTTTGTCCGTGACCGCAGCCGCGTCGTCCGTGTTTTCTCCAGTCATTGGTCAGCATTATAATATATGCAAATACATGCGGGTCGGAATCCCCGCCCCCTCCCAGCGCGGCCCCGGACGCCAAAACGGTGCCAGTAGAGTGAAACCGAAAAATGGTTTGAAACCGAAAAATGGATTGAAACCGAAAAAAAACTGTATTGAAACTGGAAAAAAAAAAGCAAAAACAAAAAAATTACAGTTTCAATTAATTGTTTCTCACTATCAATTTTTTTTCAGTTTCAATAACAGATTTTTCAGTACATTTATTTCAGTTACAATATTTTTTTTCGGTTTCAATATTTTTTTCGGTTTCATTTCAAGGTGGCATCGTTCTGATCCCATACAGGAAGTGTTCACGATGTCTTCTCGGGCGCTTCTCTGGCGCTGATAATTGCCGTCTGTCTTGTGTCAGTGACGTAAAAGACGGATTTAATGCGACTTGACCGTTCAAACAGCAGTCGCTTTCTAAAACATCGGATATGTATCGGATTCAGTACCACATACGAAAGTGACCCAGATTGGATTTGAATATTTGTGCTGTTCACACTGTCATACCAAGATCGGATATAGGTCGCATAGGGTCAAAAAAATCTGATTGGATGCGCTTTCGCCTGCAGTGTGAACCTAGCCTTAGATTGGTTCTATTGAAACAGAGCATAACCTCTCCCCAGTAAGAGTGAGTCAACCTAATAAATGAAAAGTCAAACTGCACATTGCATGCCTTTCATTTTCCCTCTGATGTTGATTAAATATGATTTTTGTCCTTTGAATGTATTGTATTGTATATTGTGTACATTGGTCCCACAAGATTGGAATTCGGTGAACTGAAATACTAATAATATCTAAAAGCATCTATTTTAAAAGCATCTTTATATATTAAAACAAAAAATCAACTAATTTTTTTTTTGTAAAATGTTGTGTATAGTAGAGAAGTAGTAAACTTATCCCTCTCAGTCTTTAGTACTTTCTTTAAATAAATGCTGTTTCTAGCTCCAAGACCATGAAGAAGGCAGGCATAGCCCCTCATAAGTATGCTTAAATTCTGGTGACTCTGGAGGTATAGAGTAAGTATTCGATTGCAGCAGCTATTCTACAGTTTTCCAAGTTTTGTAAGAACAAAGGACAGTCCTGATGCCCTCTTGTATGTCACAGACATTTGTGTTTTGTGAGTGTATAACATTCTCACTGCGTACTCGTCAGTGAATCCTTGGATATAAGCAGGAAGTATGCAAGTAAATACGGCACCTCAATTATGTCTCAGACTGTGTATCAAATCAAAAGTGACTGAACATTGGCCAAAATGTCCTTAAGATGAAAGTCTCAGAGTCAAGTAAAGTCAGTATGTCAGTACTGACTCGGCCACTGAATAGAAATATTGATTCATCCAGCGAGGACAAGTGTAAGGTAGTCCCTGAAGTGGAAGTTACCTTGGCACACTGATGAATTCCAGATAGGTGTCTCTTTGTTCTGTATTCCATCCACTGATGAGAGGCTTTTTAATTTCCAGACTGTGCATCCATAAACCAAAGCTTGAAGTTAGTGCTTCTTAACATTGTCTTTGTACTGTACCTCACTGATAACTTCTGCAGTAGGTCCAGGAAATCCACTTAGAGTCAACCTTTTACAGCTTACGTCTGTCTCTCAAGATTACTATGCAGAAACATCACTGCACATTTTAGTCAGTCAAAGGACTGCAAAAGAGAAAGTTTTAAAAGAATTGATGCATATAAATTCATT